ATTCCTCGTCCGAGCCGTCCAGGCAGTCTCGGTCCGCGTCGCAGACGAACTCCGGGGCGATGCACTTGCCGTCACGGCAGCGGAACTCGTCGGGGGAACAGGTCTTGGGGGCTGCGGGGACGGAAGGGAGATGAAGACCCGGTCACCGGGAGCCCCTGCCTCCCCACACCAGCCCATTCCCCAGATGGGGACACTGAGAGAAGAGGCCAGACCCCCGTTACTGGTCCCTGGAGAGGCGGGAGAGAGCAGTCAGGGGTCCGAGGCTGGGAACCTCGGACGCTCCAGTTGGCAACCGCTGCTCCAAAGGTTTCCTTAAACCAGCGGTCACCAACCTTTCGAACCTCACAGACCACCAGTGGTCCCGGTGTCCCCCGCTCCCCGCCGCCTGTCCCCACCCCCCGACCCCCATTCTGGACCCCCTCCTGCCTCAGGGATTTATTATCAGGACTGGTGAGTACAGCTCTCAGGTTGGGCTGGCTTGCAAGAATGGCTGATTAAGGGTTTGCTATTATTAAATGAGACACACCCCCCTCCAAAAAAAAGCGGTAATTATGTGAGTTGATAGAGATGTTGAGTAACCCCTACTGTAGTAATCATTTCACGATATAATCATCTCTTGGGGTCCTAGCGGGATTGGTTCCAGAAACCCTACAGATACCAAAATCCAAGAATGCTCAATCAAGTCCCTTATATATCTGTATTTGCATAAAACCTACATTTGCAATATAAACTGTATTTGTCTATAGGCCCCAGCAGGTTATGCCTATACATCACTTCATTTGCATAAATTCGGGATAGATCTCGGCTTATGGCAAATTCAAGTTTTGCTTTCAGGAACATTCTGGAATTTCTCTCCTCCCCCTGCAATATTTTCAATCTGCAGTTGGTTGCATCAATGGAGGTGAAACCTGTTAGTACAGAGGCCAGATATATGTGTATATATCAAATCATCATGTCTCAAGTCACACTCTTTAAACTTTCACGGATCTTTTTTGTTGTTTTCATTGGTGAATATTTTTTATTAAACTCTCTCTATATAAGAGAAGCCTGGGAGCCCTGCCGGCATGGATCAGTGGTTGAGTGTCGATTTCTAAACCAGGAGGTCAAGGTTCGATTCCCGGGCAGGACACATGCCAGGGTTGCAGGCACAATCCCTCGTAGGCGGGCGTGCGGGAGGCAGGCAACCAATGATTCTCTCATCATTGATGTTTCTCTCTCCCTTTCTCTTCCTCTCTGAAGTAAATTATATATATAATATATATATTTTAAAAAGCGAGAAGCCTGGGAAAGCTGCTTGTGGGCCCCATCTGGTGTTGCTGCACTAAGATGGGCTGACCTGGCAGCTAAAGCTTCTCCAGCAGAGACTCACGGAAGCACACAGGTTTTCAGTTCCCTTCTGCTCAAGACTGCCTCCACGGCAGTCTTGGTCCAGAATGAGTTTGTTCCTGCCACCCTCTCAGATAGAAATCTGGGTCTCTGGGCCACTGCACTCTGAAATGTGGCCCCTGAGTGTCCTTGAGTCAGGTAATCCACCTCCACTGAGTCTGACGATCCATTTGCTGTGAAGTCACCTCAGCCTCAGCTCACATCCGGGTCTTTTCCTGCCACTTTATTAGGAAGATGCTACAGAATCTGTGTACCAGACACATCGGTGTCGGGGGAGGGGCCCTCCAGCATGTCTCCAAGGAGGCCCATGGCTGGGACAAGCTCTTCTCCTCCACTTGGTGCCTAGAGAAGGTCCCAGTGCAGGGTAGGAACTGGCCAAGCAAGACCCCTCCTAGCCTACTATTCAGTTCCTTCTTTTTTAAAAAATTTTTAGTTCCTTCTTGCTTGTCTTTGATGGCCACCTGGAATCACTCTTCCAGCAGAAAGATCTTGCTGATGAGGCCTGGGTGGCACTGGTGAAGGCCTGCTGGGGGCTGTAGTCTGGTGTGGTCTGCACACGGAAGACGATTTTGTGCTCCAAGGGGTAGGAGACTTTGTAGCCAGCAAACAGCGCCTGTGGGTTCTTCAACAGCTGTGATTTAATGTTTCCTAGTTGTATGATCTTCGTTGATGGTGAAAAAACAGGCATTGAATACCTTGGTGTCCTTGTTAATGATGATGATCTCGCTTCCGAACAGCAAGAATGCTTGAAGGCTGGAGGGGCGTTCATCATCCTAGTGCCACAGCCACCTCCAAAGTCGCACCTGTGGCCACCACCACCTCCAGAGCTTACACTTACACAATGTTATATGTCAATTCTATCTCAATGAAACTGGAAGGAAAATTAAAAGAGTATCTGGGAAATAACACTTATCCATTTTATTTTAAAATGTTCCCCAAGAAGTCATTTCATTAGATGACTACTAATGAAGGTTATTTATTTGTATATACAGTTGTGTATTTCTAAGGTAAATGCAAATAAACCATTTTGTTGTTGATTTTTTTTTTTAATCTCTTAAGGCCCTGGCTGGTGTGGCTCAGCTGGTTGGGCATTGTCCTGTGCATTGAAAGATTGCGGGTTCGATTCCAGTCAGCGCACATCCCCAGGTTTCAGGATCGATCCCCAGTTGGGGATGAGCAGGAGGCAGCCAAGCCATGCTTCCCTTGTTTCTCTCTCTCTCTCTCTCTCTTTCTCTCTCTCTCTCTCTCAAAATCAATTTTAAAATCTTTTTAAAAATCTCTTAAGGACTTTTATATTTTGTGAATTTGAAGAGTTAATGTGACCTTCCGTTATTCTGGGTTTGAAAAAAAATCTACACACGTGAAAAAGCAATAATAATCCTATATAATAAAGAGCTAAGATGCAAATGGTCATCACACCCTCATGTCAGCACATCATCACTCCATGACAGGCTCAGACACTCAACACTGGGGAGAGAGGGATGGGGGCCAACCAGGCACAAATGAGCTTGCAAGAGAGGAATGGGGACCAGCCAGGCTGCAGCCCGGGAGAGGGACAAGCCGCCTGCCCTACGGTCCCAAGCACCAGCACTGAATTTCATGCACCAGGCCTCTAGTAATAATATATAATTAATGTCCTTACAATCTGTATGTGAGTATCCATCTAAGTCATGTTTTCCTGTAGGATGTAGTTCTGGAAGTGTAACTATTGCGATAAAGGGATGACATACTTGAAATTTTGAAACTGGCTCAATTACCCTTTGAAAAAGATGTGCCAATTTCATGTACCACTAGTGCACGGGAGTGCCTTTTCCTCCTATGTGTCAATTCTGGTTGTTATTTTTTAAATAAATTATTTATCTCCTGGATTGGAGCGGGTGCAGTCAGGGGTTGGGGGGGGAATGCCCCCCTACTCCCCACCATGCACAAATTTCATGCATTGGCCTCTAGTAATACATAAAATCAAAGAGCCAAGACAGACACCCAGCTCCAAAATGAATTTCCCTCCAGGACTCTTGGCCTTGTTTCTTTGAAGAAATCCATTTCTTTGGTGAAGCTTTCCTCCTCTTAGTGGTTAGTTGGATGAGTTATCTTGGTGGGTGAATACCTACTGTGTGCTTAGCCTCCTGGGGTGGCTGATGGTGGTCATAGTGGCTCACTGACGGGAGCATATGCCAGGTGGCAAGGACAACCTCACCGAGTGCTGATAACCCTAAGAGGGGCGCCATCAAGAGGGACAAGCCACCTGCCCCACGGTCCCCTGCAGCTGTGGCTGACTCAGGAGAAGTCGGCCCGGGTACTGGGTGTCTGTGGCTGGCCAGAGGGAGGGAAGCCTGGGTCCCAGGTGCAGGGTGAGGCAGAGGCAGTTAGGGGCAATCAGGCCAGTAGGGGAACAGTTAGGGGCGATCAGGCAGGCAGGCAGGTGAGTGGTTAAGAGCCAGCGGTCCCAGATTTCAAGAAGCAGTTGGACATCCCCCGAGAGGTCCTGGATTGGAGCGGGTGCAGTCAGGGGTTGGGGGGGGAATGCCCCCCTACTCCCCACCATGCACAAATTTCATGCATTGGCCTCTAGTAATACATAAAATCAAAGAGCCAAGACAGACACCCAGCTCCAAAATGAATTTCCCTCCAGGACTCTTGGCCTTGTTTCTTTGAAGAAATCCATTTCTTTGGTGAAGCTTTCCTCCTCTTAGTGGTTAGTTGGATGAGTTATCTTGGTGGGTGAATACCTACTGTGTGCTTAGCCTCCTGGGGTGGCTGATGGTGGTCATAGTGGCTCACTGACGGGAGCATATGCCAGGTGGCAAGGACAACCTCACCGAGTGCTGATAACCCTAAGAGGGGCGCCATCACTACTTGCTGCAATACCTTCAGGCCGAGGTGGGCTTCAGTGGGAGGGAGGGGGCTTGGTGTGCACTCCCAGGAGGTGGAGCTGAGTGAAGAGCAGCTGATCCACACCAGGCAGGGCTGCTTGGGGAACCAGCTCTGATAGCAGCCAGAAGCCCATGGGGCCACATGGACATTCTGGCATGCAGGCTGCCAGTGAAGGGCTATACTTACAACAGCCTTGCTCGTCCGAGCCATTCTCGCAGTCTATCTGGCCGTCACATCTCCAGAACTCAGGAATACAACGGTTGACACGACCCCCACAGCTGAAGTCCTCCACCTTACAGGTGACAGACTCTGTGGGAGAAACAGGGTTGAGTCTTATCTCAAAGGGAAAGCCAGTCTGCTTCCCCAGTCCCAGCTGTGCAAGGAAGAACCCAGTTTTTGCGTGTATTTTTATTTTTAATTAAATCTTTATTGTTGAAAATATTACATATGTCCCCAGTTTCCCCCCATTGATTTAATAAAAAGACCTCTGTACATGGTTAATCAGCAGATAAAAGCCAGCCATCTTCCTCTGTTTAGTACATTGGTTTTCAACCTGGTTCTCCAAGAGAATCATCTGGGAAGTCTTAAAAATTACCTCCACCAAGGAGATTCTGATTTACACAATCTAGGATGAATTTTTTTTAATCTTTATTGTCGAAAGTATTACATATGTCCACTTTTCCCCCCTTAACCTTTGCTAGCCCACCTCCCCCCTAGGCCTTCATCACCCTATTGTCTGTGTCCATGGATCGTGCATATAGCATAAAAGTTCTTTGGTTGATCTTTTCCCACTCACCCACCGTCCCCTCTTCCCACTGAGATTCTGTACTCTGTTCCATGCTTCTATGTCTCTGGATCTATTTTAGAACCCAGAGTTTTCAGAAAAAAGGTGCCAATCCCACCTTTTTGGGTCAAAATTTAATGGAGCTTGTTAAAAAGCAGACGCTGGGTTTTGGAATGAGATAGAGGTGGTGGTTGCACAACATTGCAGATGCATTCATGCGAGTGAACTGGTCACTTTAAAACGGTTAATTTTGTTTGTGTCAATTACCCCTCAAAAAAATTTTTTAAAAGAGCTGTTCAAGGGATGTTCTAGTAATATCTTTGCTCCCCACCGCCCAATTCATGATTGAACATATCAATCTAATGACCGAAATCCACTTCATCTGTTCCCTGCTATCATCAAAAATGGTTGGGGCCCCTGCTGGTGTGGCTCAGTGGTTGAGTGTTGATCTATGAACCAGGAGATCATGATTCGATTCTCAGTCAGGGCATATGCCTGGGCTGCAGGCTCAATCCCCAGTGTGGGGCGTGCAGGAGGCAGTCAATCAATGATTCTCTCTCATTAATGTTTCTATCTCTAGCTCCCCCTTCCTTTCTCTCTGAAATCAATTATGTGTGTGTGTGTGTGTGTGTGTGTGTGTGTGTGTTTTAAGTGTTGGGATGGGTGTAATATCCAAAGGGGACTCACTACATGTCTCCTGGGATTCATCAGACTGGTCCTGGCACTCGGCCCTCCCATCACAAACCCACTTGTAGGCGATGCATTTCCCATCTTGGCACTGGAACTCATTTCTCTCACAATTGCCTTCCACTAAGAGAGAAAAGGGGAAGAAAGATTGAATGCCAGGATCAGAAACTGACCACACTACCTATGTCTGTTTCCTGCCAACTAAAGAACAAACCAGAAATATAACCCTATTATAACAGTATGGTTCCCAGGAAATGAAACATGTATAAGTTAAATTTCATGAACCAAAAGTATAGCGGAGGATGCAAAAAAACACATCCAAAAGTGAGACTTGTCAACAAAGCGTAAGACTTTGACATAATGGTTTGTTGAGTCCAAAGTACAAATTCATTGGGATCTGGGGACAAAATATTAGAACTTTCATGCACATTTATAAAGAAAATTATTTAGCATATTATAAGCCTGTATTGGAAACAGTAATGATGAAAATTGACAGTGCAAAATCATTGAAACTTGAGTTTTCTCCAGTAGGTAGAGTGGAAATAGAAAGAAAAATTACGATAAATTATTAATGTGGAGGCCAGAGAGCAGAAACCCACCAACAAAGGTAATCAAATATCTCAACATCAGCCGAGGCCGGTTTGGCTTAGTGGATAGAGCGTCGCCCTGCGGACTGAAAGGTCCTGGGTTCGATTCCGGTCAAGGGCATGTACCTGGGTTGCGGGCACATCCTCAGTGGGAGATGTGCAGGAGGCAGCTGATCGATGTTTCTCTCTCATCGATGTTTCTAACTCTCTATCTCTCTCCCTTCCTCTCTGTGAAAAATCAATAAAATATATTTTAAAAAAAATATCTCAACATCAGAGCAAAAGAAATGGAACAGAAACAGTAGCCTTAGGTGTAATAAGAGAAAATTTTCCTAGAAAAAGACTTGGGCCCTGGCCGGGTAGCTCAGTTGGTTAGAACAGTGTCCTGATATGCCAAGGTTATAGGTTTGATCCCAGGTTAGGACACATACAAGAAGTAACCAATGAATGCATAAATAAGTGGAATAGGGAGTCAGTCTCTCTCTCTTTCAAAATCAATTTTTTAAAAAAGACTCAAATTTTTAGATAAAAATGAAGACGAAGTAAGTGTCTGGGAAATTTCCTAAAATACTTGATTTTTGCACCTTGGAAAAGAGATCAAATTTATATTGATTGTGCCCTGGCCAGCATTGCTAAGTGGTTAGAGCATCAGCCTGTACCCCCAAGGGTCTCAGGTTCAATTTCCTCTCAAGGGCATGTACCTGGATTGCAGCTTTGATCCTGGCCCCAGTCGGGGTGCGTGTGGGAAGCAACCAATCAATGTTCCTCTCCCCCCGCCCCTTCCTTTCCACACCCTCTAAAAATCAATGGAAAAAATATCCTCGGGTGAGGATTAACAAAAAAATATATTGACTGCACTCCCTTTTGAATACTATACTTTAAATTAGAATGCACTGCTAGGTATAGGGTAAACTGGAATCAAAGCCAATTTTTTTTGGTTGGCAATTACCTGATAATAATAATCTTTTAAGCTCAAAGTATAAACTTTGATTTCCTCTGTAAGCTAAAACAATGAGGCCAATAAAAATTCTGACCTGGGTTATGCTAGCATGCTTTATATTGAATAAATAAGGAAGTAAGAGAAAAACAATAAAAGCAGCTAGAAGGACTTTCCTCATGAGTCAGATGCTCTGTAGGCAAATAGTATATAAACATGAGTTTTGATTGATGGCTATATTGCTTAAATGTTCCACTATCCTTGTAAGAAGACTTTTCCTTTATCAATTGATTTCGAGCATTAGCTATAACCAAAAAAATCGTTTAATGGTTTGTGCGAAACGTAGTCATTAGCTCATTTTGCACGAAGGTAATTTATACTGGTACATGCATCAAAGTTGAAGCAGACTTCACATCTACAGAAAGTTATTCCATTCTTGGGAGAAACCTCAGACAAAAAGAAATGGAGAGAGTAAATACTTGAACGATGCTGCCTGGCCCTGAGAGCAGCCTTTCCTTCTTCATTCTGGGCGTTGAAGAGGAAGGATCAGGACCTGGGCCCTGGCCAGGCAGCTCAGTTGCTTAGGCATCATCCCATGTCACCACCTGGATTCCCAGTCAGGGCACATGCCCAGTAGGGGGCGTGCAGAAGGCAGCCTATGATATTTCTCTCTCCCTCTCCCTACCTTTCTAAAAAAAATCAATGCTCCCCTTCCCCCCCTTATTTTAAGGGACAAATAGCTGATAACCGTATTGACACACGTGACTTGCTGAACATTACTTGTGTCTGACTTATTTTGTTCAAGGGTATGCACTCTGCATTTGTGTGAAGTTCTAGTTCAGGCAAAACTAATCTAAATTAGAATTGAGATTAGCTGTTGCCTCTGGTGTGTGGGGGCAGTAATTAAATTAGAGAAAGGGGCAGAAGAAAACTCTTTGAAAGGCTAGAAATAGTCTATATCCAAATGGGAGGTGATTACACAGAAACAGGTGTTTATAAAAACTCACTGGCCCGGCCGGCATGGCTCAGTGGTTGGGCATCGACCTATGATACAGGGAGGTCACAGTTCGATTCCCAGTCAGGGCATATACCCAGTTGCTGGCTCAAGCCCCAGAGTAGGGGCTGTGCAAGATGCAGCTGATCAATGATTGATTCTTTCTCATCATTGATGTTTCTATCTCTCTCTCCCTCTCCCTTCCTCTCTGAAATCAATAAAAATATATTTAAAACACACACACACACACACACACACACACACACACACACACACACACGATCCTGTACAGTGTGGCTCAATTGGTTGAGTGTCCTCCTGTGCACTGAAAGATTGAAGGTTTGATGTGTACAAGAGGCAATTGATCAATGTTTCTCTCTCACATCGATGTTTCTCTTTCTCTCCCTCTCCCTTCCTCTCTCTCTAAAAATTCAATTAGCCTGGCTGGTTTGGCTCAGTGATTAGCATGGACTCAGAAGCCAAGAGGTTGCCGGATTCCCAGTCAGGGTTGCAGGCTTGATCTCCAGTAGGGGCATTGTAATTGTTGGACTTTTTGTGTATAGATAAAGACATTAATTTCTTCTGAGGTCATCTCCATTCTGTTTTCCTACTTAATATATTTCTCAAATTTTTATAGATGCCTGCTATGGTGGACAACCTGAGGGCACTGTTGTCAGTGTAGACATTTTTGCAGCAAGATTTGGGATTGCAAGCCCAATT